CTGGGAACTCCAGAGAGGAGTTGTGCTTAGAGGACATGTGGACGGATGTTGGAGCTGGGAAGGCCTGGGAGGGCCCAGGCAGCCCAGTCAGAATGAAGACACTCAAGTGAGGAAGTTGGACTTCCTCAGCCATCACAGGATGGCATTATTGTTCTCCACAGGCTTGGAAAGGAACATAAAGAGAAGAGTGACTTTTTCTAGGTTGTTGATCTGACTTTCAGACTATGATATTTCTTGGACTGAATCCTGACAAAATGTGTCCCCAGTGTCATTAGTGCTAAATAAAACCTTTTGTCTTTGTTTTCCTTAGCTTTCAAGACTTCTAAGACATATTAGAGGAGCACATATTTTTAAGAATGTCTATTTAAATCTCTAACCATGTTGGCTCTCTCCAGCGAGACAGGTAAATTTGAGGGGGGCGCAAATTCACTGCAGCTTGAGCCTGGCTTGTTCTACGAGGGCCACATTCACATTCAGTCAGGTTGACTGAAGAGTGTTTCCAAAACACTCATAATTTCTATTATTTCACCCTTTTAAAATGTTCCCAGTACACTGCCTTAAAAACAACTCATTGTAGGAAAAAGGAAGCTCTTTACCTTGTGCTTTGAAAATGTGTGTAGCCGGATTTCGAGAACGTGCTCCTCTTTTTCCTGCTATTTGTGGTTTATCCTCTGTTCTTAACCTTTTAAGTGTCGGTGAAAAGATCTGCTCAAAGAACCCAAGAAATACTACCTCTGCGCTCACTTGTTCCTTTGAGGAGAGGGGATCTGGTCCTGCAAATTCAGCGGCGTGTGCGTGTGTGTGAGCCACAGTATCCAGGTTTTGCAGTAATAGAAGTGCATTCATGCCGCTTTATCTAGACTTGCTCTTTTGCTTCCGCTGTGTCCGGTGGTCCCCGCTCTAGTGATCCAGTGTGTGGCAGGGGTTGGCCCTTCACAAGCCAGCACGGGCAGGGTCATGGCTGGACCACCACACCGTTAGCCACAAGCTCTCGGGCCACAGAGCAGCTAAGCCACAGCCTCGTGTTTGTCTCAGTTTTAAGCAGTTGGGGGGCTTAGACTTTAAAACCATCTCTCATCAACCCACAGGACAGCTCAGGACCTTTCGACGTTTACCCTCTCCCCCAGACTGCCACCAGCTCATTCAATTTGTCACAACCCTGTGAAGGAGACGGGATGGTTAAATTCAAAATCTCAGAGTAAACTTTATGTTTTAAGATCCCGAGTGACGGTATGAGCCTTGTCCCGGGTCACTCAGCTCCATTTTTAGTCCTGAACTCATGACACGACCGGCCTTGGAAACTACTTGCTGAATGAATGAATTAGTGGGAAAAGATGGGGCTAAAACTCAAATTATCTGCTTGCCTTTCAAGTGCTTTTCCTAGTTCAAGGATTAGATGAGTGACTAAATATAGTGCTTGAACTTGCCCGCCGCATAATAGGTGATCAGTTCTGTTAGCTACAGATGTGAGCCATAAAGTTTATACCATTTTATATGCTGTCTTTCATCTGCTCTTACATACCGAATACCGGATGTTCTTGCCAACCTGGGTGCCATCCTCTTTTCAGAGTCTGTGAGCTACGTTTACTACCAGAGTGAGAGAGGGGTTGCTGTTTGTTTTTTTTTTAAAGATTTATTTATTTATTTGTCAGAGAGAGAGAGGGAGAGAGAACGAACACAGGCAGACAGAGTGGCAGGCAGAGGCAGAGGGAGAAGCAGGCTCCCCACAGAACAAGGAGCCCGATGCGGGACTCGATCCCAGGACGCTGGGATCATCACCTGAGCCGAAGGCAGCGGCTTAACCAACTGAGCCACCCAGGCGTCCCAGGGGTTGCTGTTTTGACAAAAACTTGAGCCACAGTGAGAACAAGGCGTTTTCAGCTCTGTTGGCTGAGGTGGTAGAAAGGATAGTAGTGGGAATGCCAGGTGCTTTTCCTAGTGGCCTTTTTCTCTGTCTGCCCATGCACGATTGAAGGGCAGGCTCAGACTCATCACTCTCTCGCACTCAACAGTCATCAGAATTTCCCCAAAATCACGAGGGCAAGAAAACTTTGTGCCAGCCACTGAGTGACTCTAACCTAAGCGTCTTTAATGAAGTTGGAGGGAGTTCTTACAAAAGCCATTGGTTTTCTGGTTCCCTTTTCCATTCCACCCTCAGAGAGGCAGGGAACAGCCTGGTGCGGATTGTCTGACACCCTTTCCTAAGGCCCTGTTAGGAAAACCTCCAGATACGTCACTGGATGGAGAAAAGGCTGCACGTCTTCTAGTCATTTCTACCTCTAACAAAAAGTGCATCGTGTTGGCAACATTACCACTTAGAAATGTAGGGTGTTGTTAGTCTAGTTTAAAGAGCAGTACGGGGACTCTGACCTTTTCAGGCCACCACCTCTGTCCCCCACCGCCCCCCAGCCCCTTAATTCTCTCTGGGTCGGTGTGAGAGGTTTTCTCAAGTTTGGGGCCACTCTAAGAACTAGCGTGTTCATCTTTGTTATTAGAGGGTAAATGTCTTCTTCAAACACAGTTCCTCATTCTTGATGATGATGACGTCCCTGTGGCTTGGTTGTTCTTTAAGGACCAGCAGTGAGCTGGGGTCTGTGCCATATTGAGGAGCACAGCGCTATCCCTGAGGGGCCCCATGCGGCCTAGGAGAGTTGAACTGAAGGACAGAGCTTGGCCACTGCATGGCCACAGCTCTCTGTCACTTTTCAAGCTGACTTTCCCACCCAGTCAGACCTACACTTTAATCCCAATTCCACCCTACGTGCTACGCAACCTAGAACCTCCTTGGCCTCTCCAGGCTCTGCTTCACCCTCCATCAGCGGCGTTGGCCGTGTCGGCCGCGGCAGGACCTTGGGGTGACTGCCCACAGCCTGGTGCTCGAGTGCGCTCAGCGGCTGGTTGCCGCCAGCCACGCCCTGTGGATGCAAACACGGTTTCTCACGGGAAGGAGTATGGTTGTTGCGACCTATAAGACAACACAACTGACTCCATGACAGAGATACATTTTTGCCTCCGAGAACTCTGTTCCCTCATCCCTGAGGATGCTGGGCCAGGCCGGAAGCAGCACGGGGCGTGGGGAGGGCCCCCCTGAAGCCCAGTCACATCAGTAAGTGTCGGCAGCCGTCGTCGGCCTGAGCTGACCAAACCGTGTCAGCCGGAAGGCCGGGAAGAGCCCGCTGGGAGGAGCTGTCCGCTCCTCAGTGGCGGTCACTGCCACTGCTGTCGTCTCAGCCCACGACTGATGAAAACAAAGGACTGAAAAGACCGGGGTTTTCATTACACCAGAGGCCTTCTGCACAGGCCTCCGAAGTATGGGGTACTGAGAGTGTGAGGGAGGGTGTGGGAGTAGGTAATGCGGGAGTTCAGGCCACTTACCGTGTTTACCAAATGTCTTTGGAGCCATGGGTTAGAGTTGGTTTGCATTAAAGCTGTGACAGGACTGCGCTCTGTGTGGTATGTGGAAGTAACATCCATGACCAGAGTAACCCCCTTTCAGGAATTCCTATACACAGATTGAGGATTTAACTCAAAACTCACCTTGCCAGAAGCATCTCCTCCTTACTCTGCCCTTCTCTCATCTCTCTGGAACTCTGAAGATCCAGCACGTAGGGGTGGAGTCTCAGTTATTATAAAATGCTCTCTTAAAATTCCTATAAAGAGCGCCTGGGTGGTCAGTTAACCCCTGCCTCACACAGGCCATGCCTCCATCTGGCCCTGCAGGAGGCACACCCTTCCCTCTTCACGCCGCTGCCCCACGGCCTCCCTCGGGCCTCTGGAGCCTCCTGTCTTTCCACGTCTGACTAACCCGTTCTCATTGTTTTGTCATTGCTGCCGCAGTCTGTCTCCCCCTCAGGAAAGCGCACCCTCCCTGAGGAGAGGACAGCGCATGGCCGCTGCCCCCCTGCTGCCCCCGCTGCCCGCCGCAGCCCTGGGCCGGCGCAGAGCCGCAGACACCCGGCCAGTCTAATGAATGAAAGACGGAATGAGACAATATACATAAAGCATTACTATTGCCTGGCACGTGCTCGGTCCCCAGGATGTGGTTGGTTGTCGCAGTCAGTCACACCTTCATCAGGTTATTAAGTGCCTGGCCCCGTGTGTGGGCGACAGCAGCAAGCCTGGCGGAGAAAACCGTCCCCATCATGCGCTTCCCGTCTGTCTGTTTCCCCTTCATCTCTTCCACTGCCCCCGCCTGCCCTCCGCCACTCCCCTCCTCTCAGGACACTGTCGCCTGCCCTTCTCCTAGCCCCAACTGTCACAAGTCCTGCTCAGGTCACCTTGGCAAGGGAAGGTGCCCAGAGGGGCCTTGAGGAGACCGGCGGCTCCTCAGGCCGCTGGAGTGAGAATCCCTTCCTCCGCCCTGGTGGGAGAAAAATGAGAAACTGAAAAACCCAAATCCCGGGGAGGCGCTCCAGGCACAGTGCTCGCTCACCGGCTGGCCGGCAGAGCGCGGGTCGCCTGGCTGTGCTCACAGAGCCAGACTGAAGCTTTCACTGAGCCCCGGTGAGGGATCACCCAGCCTCCCGCCACGAGGCCACAGCCGTCACCCGGGGTCCCGAGGAGGAGGCCCCGGCACAGCCGCGCACGGCGGGCCGCCCCAGCACCCGTCTGCGAGGGACTCGGGCCTGTCCCTGCCGGTCAAGGCTGAGGAACTGTGAAGGAAAGCTCTCGTCCTCACGGTGACTCAGCCCTGAAGGCAAAGTCTCTCAGGAGGAGCCAGGCTTCTGTCACCCATGCAGGGCCCATTTCCACTCGGACATCTGTCCTCCTGCCTTCCCGTCTTCGGGTCCCTGCTCCCCACTCAGCAGACAGGCACTGATGGGCTTATTCATCTTTCCTCCGTGTCCTTCACGTTTTCTCAGGAGTCATTGCGAACGACCGGGGAAGCCCCAGAGCTCTCAGGCCCTGTGGCCAGTGAGGGAGGTGGGCTTCCCCGCACACCTCAACAGGGCTTTTGCACAGAACTGTGAGATCACAAAATCATCTTGTTTTTGTTGCAGAAATTTCCAGAATTGAAATTCAAATATGTGGAAGAGGAGCAGCCCGAGGAGTTTTTTATCCCTTATGTGTGGTCTCTGGTCTACAACTCAGCAGTAGGCCTCTACTGGAACCCCCAGGACATCCAGCTCTTCACGATGGATTCTGACTGAGGGCCGACACCATCTCCCACCCTCACCTCCCTGCAGCCAAGCAGCCCTTCTAGTTACTTTCTTCCTGGGGGAACAGAAGTAGACAGATTGCCCAATGTACCTTCCAGCGGAGAGGATCACACAGGCGTGCTTCCCTTACACACTTGGATGTGGAGAATTGGTGACAGTTGGCAGGAGATCACTCAGCTTAGATTGTAGTGCAAAAAAGGGGGGAGGGGGGTATGCGACAATAATAAATGTAAAAACCTGCTATTCCACATGCAATTTTATTTCTAAACCAAAAATCTAGAGCTTTTCCAGGAACCCGATGCCTTAGGCATGTAACACTTCACCAGTACATACTGTTTTTTTCTTTGCATGTTCAAGATTTTTGTTTTGGTCCATTGTGTGCACACATGCACACGTGTGTGTGTGTGTGTACATGTGTGTGTGTGAGTGTTTTTTCAACATAGAGAAATATCTGAAAAGATGACGAGACAGGAATTAGTAAGGAAATGAAGTCATATGTATGCGGGGTTGCCTTCTAGAGGGCCCATGATTTAACAGACACTATGCCCGGGCCGTGGGATGTGAGCCTTTAGATCAGATCCTCTGCATCTTTCAAAGAAAGAAGTGGCTCCTTCTTATAAAGCCCAGATTAGCTTTACTGTGGCTTTGGCCTCTGAGCTGTAGCTGAATTAAATTGGAGTCTAGCACAAATTAAGTTAATCTACTCTGTATTAATCATTGGGAAAAGAAAAGCTTCATTTTGAAAGCAATCTTTTTTCTTCAACCAGGCTATTAGAAGAAAAGGAGACCAATTTGATTAATACAGTGTTCCACATGAGATTAAAAACATGTTTTTCTCTTCATTTCTGACTTTGTTTAAACTCTTTTGGGCCCTGAACCAGAGGAAGAAGCTTCTCTGAGGGAAACCGTGCCAGGGCTGCCCTGAGCAGAGCGTGCCTGCCGGAGCCACGGGCGCTAAGGGCAGAGTGCGATGGGCCTGTGGAGTCAGGGTCTAAGTCCACAACCACACTCTCACAGCCCGAATGAGGAGCCTCGTCTCATTCTCAAAGACACGAAAAGTATTTGCTTTTCTGCATACAAAGCGTGTAATCCCAAGTGAGACTGAACACCCCACGTCAGGTGGCTGTTGCTGATCTCTGTCGAGAACTAGCTTCTCTCCTCTCCCTATGTCCCTGGGCTGGACGCCGGGATCCTTTTGGTCCATCACAATCTCAGAGTGCCTAGGAAGAACTATCTTCAGTCACAGCAAGCTCTGGAAAGGTGAAGAACACACCAGCACGTCATGCCCATCTGTGTGGCTTCTACCCGTGAAAAGCCTGGGCTGCTCCATCTCTTTGGTGGGCTTTTGGGGGCCAACCAGGTGGTTTCATCTTCATCATCAGGACAGGCACTGGAGCTGAAGCTCCCTGAGGCTGACTGACGGACAGACGGACGGACGAAGGGGCATCGCTGGTGGCTGGACGCAGGAGGCAAGTGCAGATGGTCCACGGCCTCCTAGGGTCTTGCGCTGTGCAGTCCTCTTCTGTCACACGAGGCTGGGTGGCTCCTGTAAGATCACAGGGACAGGGCCGCAGACAGACGAGGCGTGGCAACAGCTCCTGTTCAGTGGAGCCCCGGGGGCAAGGCTGTCTGAAGGTGGAAATGTCCGTCCTCCCAGTCTGAATGGCGATCATTTCAGGTAGCCGTCGTTTCGTGTTCCCCACATGGGGAGACAAGAGACAGCTTGAATTTGTTTCCAGCGCATTTTGATTTGCTTCCTTTCCTTTAAACCAAAACACACAATGTTAAAAGGGTCGCGTGCAGCGCCTGAACCTGTCAGGACCTGGACCTGGGCAGTGCCATGGGATAATCACTAGGCTGCAGGCCTGTCAGTTCTTGGGAGGGAGGAAATGGGGTCCCCCAAAAGCCAGAGAGGCCCAGCAACCATGGGGCCCTTGACTGAGGAGACCTCACTGGTCCCTCCCCAGGCCACCTGGCTCACCAAGGTGCCTCCAAAGCCCCATTCTCCAGCAGGCTCCCCCGCCCCCTTAATGAACCAAGCCGCGGAAGTGCTCACTGGCCTGAAAGCTCCGCCGCGGCCACGGCCTCAGGCAGCACGTGGGCACACGCTTCCAGACTCCACTGCGTCACTGCCTCAGCTCGGGAGACCCACCGGGAGTCTCCTCCTGGTTTTTGTGAAAGATTTATTACGTGACAATAAATTTAACTGACAAACTTGAATTGTGCTCGCATTAATTTGCTTAGAAATGTGTCTTCCACAAAGTAAAAATGTGTAGAATGAGGCAGCACAGGCCCATCTTGTGTTTGGATGGAAGTTAACGTCTGATCTTCCCCAAGATACGAAACTGTTACTGCGCTGTAACTCTGTCACCAGCAAATGGTTCTGCCGCGATATTTGTTTTTGAAAGCACGGGCCCCTTTCGGTATCACCGTTCCTATCAGGAGTTCAAGGCGCTGTGCAAAAAAGCTGCAAAACGGTAACTCTGGCGCCCGCAGTCCCCCCGCGGAGGCCGGTGTGGGATCTGTGAGCAGCAGCCTTGGCATCCCAGGGTGCTCCTCGTTCGGCAGTGAAGGCAGAAGCAGGGCTATGGCAGATCTCAGGGACAGAGTCGGAGAAGGTCCCTGGGGTGAAGTCCCAGTGAAAGTCCACTGCTCCCGAAGGAAGTCGCAGGAGCTGGAAACCTGCAAGGTGGGGAGAGGGAAGAACATAGGACCAGCACCGATCAGAGCCCTTAGCAACTTCCTCAAGCTTGCTAAGGTGAAGAGAAATGTTCAGTGGAGGGGGGATGCTTCTAGGGCAAGGATCTCTTAAAATTCTTTAGGCAACACCTGTCCTTTAGGTTCTGGGGAGCCAGTGTTTGGCCTCAGGCATTAAATCTTAATGCATAACTGAGTCATTCTGTGCTCCTTTCCAGAGCCATAAATTAGAGTTGTGGTACTTGCTGATACTTTATAGGCTTGAGTTTGCAAGGTCAACCCTTTGGGTCTCTTAATTCCCTCCTAGGCACTATGCCTGCAGTTTCAGGAGCTGCCATTTGATATTCGGGACTGATCCTTGGGCTTTCTGACGCCAAATTCAGGGTTATTCCAGTGTCCTATGTTGCCTCCAAGAGTCGAGGAGGTCAGGGTTTCTGTTCTCTGACAAAGAGCCAAGCTTCCTATGAACATGAAGAGCTGAGGAGTGGATTCTAGCACACAATTCACAGCACCTAATACATTTGTATTTTTTTAAGAACTTTACTAAGGCATAAAGTTTAATCTCAGGGTATATCCATTTGGGGTTCACACAAAGCAAGGGAGATTCATCAGGAACTTCCCGCTTTGCCCCACCCCTCCCCGTTGGTCAGGTCATACATGGCAGCCACTACCCACTCTCCTGACTTTAAGGCAGTTAAAGGGGCAGCTACTTAGACAATGGGAATAGCACAGACGCCCAGAAAAAAAGCAGTTTCTCACAACTGATCGGGTACTACCTCACCATCCTGTTGACTCTGGCAGGACTTCAAGCAAAATTTTAAAACTTTTTGGCCAGGTTTCTGAGTTCTTTGCTGGCAGGTTGGTTTGGAGTACCTAACTCTCCATTCTGATCAGTAGACTCTCCGTGGATGCTGTGGCCCGGCTTCTAAATCACATTCCCTGAATGTGAATTGAGGTGAAACCAAATTACTAATGCGTCCCAGTGCTAGCAAATGTATATTCTCTCCGGAAGGTTATGGACTGTATATATCCCCCCCAAATTAATATAATGAGCCCTGACTCCCCATGTGATGGTATTAGGAGGAGGGGGCCTTTGGGAGGTCATTTGGGTTAGGGGGTTGTGATGATGGAGCCACCGTGATGGGATTAGTACACTTACAAAAAGAGACATGAGAGTGACCTCTCTCCCTCTCCACCATGTGAAGACCTAACAAAAAGACCACCATCTATGAGCCAGGAAGGAAACTTCTAGTATTAAAATCAGAAATATCCATGGGGCACCTGGAAGGCTCAGTCGGTTAAGCATCTGCCTTCGGCTCAGGTCATGATCCCAGGGTACTGGGATGGGGCCCTGGGTCAGGCTCCCTGCTCCGTGGGGAGTCTACTCCTCCCTCTCCCTCTGCCCCTCCCCCACTCACTCATACTCTCAAATAAATAAAATCTTAAAAAAAAAAATCCAGGTATGTGAGAAGATCAGATAATATGAATTAAAACCATCACAGAAAAATAACAAGAATAAAGAAACTCCCACTGTCGCCAGCTATATCATTTACAGAATTTGAAACAACTATGCTTTCTTTGCTTAAAAACGAAAAGAAAAAAGTGTGGCCAAGAATTTCAGGGAATTAGAAACTATAAAAGAGGACCAAATGGAAATTCTAGAATGGGAAAAATATATAACAAGAATTAATAATTCAGTGGATGAACTTAAGAGCAGATTCACAACTGAGAGAATGGGTAACATGAAAACCCAGAGGAAAACAGACGGAACAGCCTTGGCTGTAGAGGTGCTTCAGGGTGCACACGTATGTTGGAGCTAATCAAGTTGTGCACTTGCCTATGTGCAGTTTTCATATGTCAGTTTCGCCTCAAGCCGTTTTTAAACTTTGGATAAAATGAACAAATTTCTTTTTTTTAAGTGGTTTTTCAAACCTGACATTAGAAAATCTTGAAAATTGGGATTATCCTACATTTATTGCCTAAATTGAATCCCTGATTTAAAATCTCACAAAATAATCCATAGGCCCAGATAACATCGCTGGTGAATTCAACCAACATTTTTTTTTTTAAGATTTATTTATTTATTTATTTGACAGAGATCACAAGTAGGCAGAGAGGCAGGCAGAGAGAGAGAGAGAGGAGGAAGCAGGCTCCCCGCTGAGCAGAGATGTGGGGCTCGATCCCAGGACTCTGGGATCATGACCTGAGCCGAAGGCAGAGGCTTTAACCCACTGAACCACCCAGGCGCCCCGAATTCAACCAACATCTTTGGGAAAAATAATGCCAATCTTACCCAGACTCTTCTAGATGATGGAAAACTGCCAAATTCATTTTTTTTTTAAGATTTTATTCGTTTATTTGAGAGAGAGAGAGAGAGAGAGAGCATGAGAGGAGAGAGGTCAGTGGGAGAAGCAGACTCCCTGCCAAGCAGGGAGCCTGATGTGGGACTTGATCCCAGGACTCCAAGATCATGACCTGAGCTGAAGGCAGTCGCTTAACCAACTGAGCCACCCAGGCGCCCTGCCAAATTCATTTTAAGAGACCCAGTATATCTTTCTATATAAAAAAATCTGACAAGAACAGTATAGGAAATGAAAATTGCATGACAGTTTCTCTCATCATAATAGATGTAAAAGATCTAAAAAAAAAAAAAAAAGCAAACAAACCAGCAAGGTATAAAAAGCAATATGTAAAAATACTTCATGATTAAATTGGATTA